GGGGCTTCGGAACGGATATGCTACCACCCAATATGCAAGCTTCCCAAAGAAAATTCATAGATTATAATAATAACAGTCCAAAGATAGATCTCTATATGTACTTCATGGCCTTATACCAGATCCCTTGGATCATGAAATGGTCATATCATTTATCGGATGATTATACAAATAATTGGGAATACCTCCCGGAATTAGGAAAACAAATATATATAAAATGGTGGGATGTTTTTGAGAATGACTCTTTAAATCCTGATAAGATAAAGATGAATAAAGTACCATTTCCACCTACCAATACAGATATGAATATGACTGATTACCTAAATAAAATTCGTCAGCAATATCCCAAAGCAACCAAAGAAGAACTCAAGAAAAAGTTGATGCAAATATTCGATGAAGAGGAAAAAGCCATGTCAACATCAACCCAAAATGAAGAAACTTATGAACAGAAAAATGAGGACATGGACTATGGAATCTCACAATAGGACAACACATAATAGAGGACGGAATGACTGCAGTTTACATAGCACACGAGTCCTCAGAATAGTTTACCGACAAAACAGTACCTTCCTTTTACTATTAATACCTTTTACTAATCATACCTTTCGGTCAGCTCAAAGCACTGTTTATACCTTTTTCATCGACATCTTCACATGGAGCGTTTACCGTCGACATCTTTAGTCACCTCAGCACGTGAAGACTTGCTTTTGCTTTACGGACTTGAAATAACAATTTGAAGTCCGCCATAAGCTTAAAAGGAGGAGCGGGTTCCTCAGCATAGGCATCGGAAGAAAAGGGGAGAGGAATCTAGAGTCGGAGAGTATAGTGTCTTATGAGTTTGAGTTGGAAGGATTCGAGTATTTGAGTGGTGTGAACTATATGTGTGACTGTCACTGGGATCATCTACCCAGCTATTGTTTAAGAGGGTGGAAGCTTTCTTTTGGTTTTTGCAAGTGTTGCATGTAAGTGTTTCTTTTTTATATCTTTCCTTATGCAGTTTAAGTTTATTGTTTGCATAAGAACTTGGCATGTCATTTATATAGACTGGATTGTAATACTATTAAAGTTTTTATTTATTACCTTTTTTATATTAAAGTTTTTATTTATTACTGCGCACATTAGTAATGGTCTCAGAGCCATGTTTCGTTTACAGTGGTGAACTGTAGAATAGAATTGTTCTAAAGCTTAGCAAGACTAAGAAATTTCCCACAAAGATAATAGATTGACACTAAAAGTCGTCGTGACCCGAACTACCAGTAGGCCAGGAAGTGCCGTGAAAGGTACAGGGACTGTTTTCGACTGACTCAGTGATCAAAATATTATTCGAAATGGAAAATTTCCTTAAAACACTATCCAGTAGGACAACCTATTCTTCTAGTACACTGCGTGTAAGAAATAGAGAAGAAGTAATTATAAACAATATAGAAAAACAAATCCAAAACTGGAATATCCCCAAAGTCCCAGCTTCTGATGTTTATAGAAAAGGGGCATTTGAGTTCAAAATTAGTTCTTCTATTAAGACCGTAGAACAAATCATCTCTATCACAGATGAGCAGAATAGTTTCCAACTCCTTTCTAATCGCATGATACGAGACCATAAGAATGGAGATTATAAATATTTGCATATAGGACTTGTTCAAGTCGCTATAAAACCACTTACTAGAATATATATGGGATATTCTAAACTTCACAACCCTTCAAATTACAAAGGTTCAAGATAGAGAGAGTTGTGAAGGTTTGATTTATTAATTTTGTTGCGTATTTTTTTAAAAAAGTTACTTTTGTGGGGCAAATTTTTAAATATTACTACAAGACTAAGGGTATTTTTGTCATCTCCAAAAGGGGTAAAATTGAAATTTTAACTAAAAGACAAGGGCACTCTACAAATAAAGTTCCAGGACACTAACTTCCAAAATGTCATTGTACATTTGTGAAAATTTCAAATTTGCTCTTGTTTAATGGTAAAGTTACTTATTTAAATCATTTTTTAATAAAAAAAATAATGATTGTTTTGATAAATACACCCATCACAACCCCTTCTAACTTGAACCTTTGTATTTTGGGGGGTTGTTAACTCTAGACAAACCCTATGTGTGTATATATATATGGGGGAAATACTAGCGTAGGCCAGTAGGCTTATATGAGCCCAACGGGCCAAATTCAATATGGACCGATCCGATGATTATTATTGCATTCCGTATTTAAATTTTAATTTCTTTTTATAAGTCAAAATTACTTGAAATTTTGAGCGTGTGTTTTTTAAAAATAGAATAATCCAATAAAAATATCAAAAAAATATTTTGTTTTTTAAAAATAGGATAATCCAATAAAAATATCAAAAAAATATTTTGTTAGAAATAATTGATCAAAATACCCCCAAAACTTTTCAGGGGTATTTTTGTCAATATATATTGTGAATTATTTTTTAATATTTTTATTAGATGTGCTTTGATTATAAGAATAGATGCTTAAAATTTCACATGATTTGGATTTGTGGAAAAAAATTAAAATACCAAATAAGGTCGTGTTCGTCAGATCAGTTCAGATTGAATCTTGGCTGTTGGACTTATATGTAACTGTAGGCCCACTTGCCTATGCCAGCATT